CATCTCCCTCGCGAACGTGGCGTTGCTGCCCTTCTTCGGCCAGGCCCACCCAAGCACGCAGCCGCCACTTCCCACTCCTTTCGGCGGTCAGCCACCGCTGCTACTCTCCCCGGCTTTCCCGCCGCGTCTCCCCCAGCAGCCCGGCCCTTTTCCGGGAGCCTCCGTCCCCTTCCTTCAGCCTCCGCTGGCTCTGCAGCTCCGAGCCTCCGCGGAAGTCTCGTGCGGCGGCGGTGGCGGCGCTGGCACCTAATAGCCGGTGCCACCGCCTCCGCTGCCGTCCCAGTGCCGGCCCTTCCCAGGGACCGACGCCGGCTAGCTACCGTGGTCGCAGACTCCGGGCCCCGCGCTGCCTTGAAGCCCGCTCTGGTCTGATGCGCCGCCGCCCGCCTACTTGCTTGGGATGCGACCCTCCAGCGACTGGCGGTGCCTGGAGGCGGTGTTCTGGACGCCGCGACGGGCGGGCTGTCCGGTGACCAAGGGCACGCACGCTGCGCCCAGCCTTGGCGAAGTGTGCGCGCGGCCGCGCGGGTCTCTGGGCCTGGTGTGGCGGCTTCACAGCCTGATCCAGACCCTGCGCGAGGCCGAAGCCGAAGGCCTACGGAAGTGGCCGAGCGGCTACAGCCGTTTACCCAGGCTCCCTTTGGAGGGGACTCGGGAACGCAAGGCCGAGCGGGAGGCAGAGGCCGAGCCGGCGGTGGAACGCTAGCAGGAGATTGACCGCTGGAGGGTCAAGTGTGTGCAGGAGGTGGAGAAGAAGCGAGAGCAGGAAGTCCAAGCAGCCGCTGATGGCCTACTGTCTGAAGTGGGGAAAAAACAAGCGATACCAAAAGAATGGTGGACATTCTTCGGGCTTTGGAGAAGCTGAGGAAACTGAAGAAAGAGGCTGCAGTGAGGAAAGGGATCTGTCCTCCAGCCTCAGCAGATGAGACTTTTGAGCATCATCTTCAGCGACTGAGAAAACTCATGAAAAAGCGCTCTGAACTATATGAAGCTGAAGAGAGCCCTCAGAGTTATGCTGGAAGGAGAACAAGAGGAAGAGAGGAAAAGGGAATTCAAAAAGAAACAAAAGAAAAATTTTACTTCAGAAACGTGAAATGGAGTCAGAGTTTGGGGATCCAGACGAGTTCCCACGTGCTCACCTCTTGGAGCCTTTCTGGCAGTTTTACCTCCAAGCTGAACACTCCCTGCCAGCACTCATCCAGATCAGGCATGATTGGGATCAGTGCCTGGTGCCATCCGATCATCCCAAAGGCAACTTCGTTCACCAAGGATGGGTCTTTCCACCGCTATCCAGCGACGACATCTGGGCAACTGCTGTTAAGCTGCGTTAGTAAAGATGCTCCAGTAGTGTGGTCCAGGCAATGCTCTTTCCAGCTCTAAATGTTAGCAATGCCGCCATCTTTTGCTGTAGGCTAAATCACAACTTCTAAATTCCATGTGCAGCCCCCTACCCTGAAGTTATGCTTTCCTTCTTGCTCTGTGCTGGCCAGAGGTGCCTCTTGAATCAGGAGATTAATGTGGTTCTTCAGGAAAGGACTTCAGTGAACTGAGGTTATTACCACAGGCAGTGAAGGACCTTGGTTCACCAAATTTGCCTTCGTTTTGAGGGGCTTGGGCCAGAATGACTTGTTAATTTACTCTAACTTTTGTGTGGTGATGGGTAAGTATACTGAAACACTCAATACAGGTGTGCGATGGGTAGATTTCACAGCTCTTCCACTAATAGTGAGTGTGAAAGCAAGCCTGATGCAGAACCTCCTGACCTTTTCTATCCGAAGAGCCCTTTGACTTCTAGGAAGAAAGGTCAAAAACATGTTATTTTCGGTTTTGTTAATCGCAGTTTTAGTGCAGTTTGGGGGGCTGCTAGTTAGGAAGATGGCAGTGGCTGTAGGTTGGGTTGCCAGAGAAGATGGTGGCCTAGTCTTAATCAGGTGGAGAATTAAGAAAATCTGAAGAGTACCCAAATTGGATTGTGTTTTAATGTACAATGGCTGTATTTTTTCCATGTTAGAAAGATCCTAATGAAAGCACCCTTTTTTTTTTTTTTTTTTTTTTTTTTTTTTTTTTTTTTTTTTTTTTTTTTTTTTTTTTTTTTTTTTTTTTT